GTTGACCTGTTCTGAAATCTAAATTTATGATTGGAAGAGGTAGGTTCTTAAGTAATTTTTTGAGAGTCAGATTATGTAGACTACCCACAACAGAAATTGTATTGTTGAAGATTAAGGAGTTTTGTAATGAAATAGGACTTTTTTTGTAGGTAGAAATAGTAACTTTTTTTCTAGGCTCTAGTAAAATAAAATAACTTTTCTTTTTCTCCCATTTTGACATGATCACAGGCGAATTTATGGGGAGGAGAAGAGGGAGGGGCTTTCGGTCCGAAGCCTCCCCCCCCCAAATGGTAAAATGTAACCATTTTTTATGGAAAAATAATCTCTTAAAGTATTATTGTTCGTGTAATTACATTTAATAAGACTTCAAGAATCACTTAAACACCATTTCATATAGGTAATTAGTGTATTTCTTTTTTTCCAAAGTAATTATCTTTATATATATATATATATATATATATATATATATATATATATATGGAAAAAAAAACTTTCAGGCTGCTGCCCCTCCCAGAATTGAATACTGGATCCGTCAATGGTCATGATCATTTGAAAATTCAAATGATTCACTTCTAGAAGGTTTTAAAGTATTATTTGTAGACAGGGTTTGATGAATTGATTTTTTATTATTATAAAAGAGCAACAATTCAAAAAGATACACACACCAATTGCTAGAATACAATCAGAAGTTACAAAAGCAAAGCCTTAGGTATCTAACATACTGATAAACAGCCACCAATCAATGTTTCACTAACACAGGCATCATCAGGATGGAAAGAACAAGATTACATCCATTAGAAACATTACACTACCTAACTCACATTAACATTCTAAAAAAGAAATATACTAGAGACAGACAACCAATCACTTCCTGTGTCATGTCTAGGGGTGATATGGTGTTGATGCATTCTTTTTAGACTGTTGGTGTGAGATTTGCTGTATTTGGTCTGCTTATATGTGATCTTGCTTTTTCTATCTTGATACATATGGCGATTGATTCTAGAGTCTTGAAGCTTTGTGTTTAAAATCTTCTGATTGTATCATAGCAATTGATATTTAAGTTACTTGCTATAATTATTTTGTTAATAGGCCTAACATTTGTATGAGAAGAGCAGGAGCGCCCAGTAGGGGATTTCATGACGAAGTTGTACCATCAAAATGTTTGAGGGAGGCATATTTTGACGGGTTTTTTAATTTTTGAGGAGGGCTTATTTTGACATCATCATCCGTGGCACTACAACTCCTGTAGAGTCAAGGCCTCCCGCAGCTTGCTCTGCCAGTCTTCTCTATGGGTTGCCGCTGCTCTCTAATTGTGGATTCCCAAAATGGACCTGGCATCCGCTGCCACTTCATTGATCCATTGGAGCCGAGGTCTTCCCACTCTTCTTGTCCCGTAAATCTTTTTATCTAGGACCATCCTAGGAATCTGATCCTGGGCCATTAAATGACCTGCCCATCAAAGCCGCCCTACTTTAATTACCTTTACGATATCCGAGCTCTTGTATAGTCTTTTTAGCTCAGCATTCGTTCTTATCTTCCAGATTCCATTGATGCAAACTGAACCATAAATTCTCCTCTTCAACCTTAGGAGAAGGGCTTACTTTGTACTGGGTAATGTCCTGCATTCTGAGGCATAAGTAAGAAGTGGTCTTACCAGGGTCCTGTACAGTTGGACCTTTGTGTGTTGAGAGATAGCCCTGCTCCTTAAATGCTTTAGTAATCCAAAATGGCATTTATTTGTGGACATAATTCTGCAATGGATATCTGCTTTTATGTCATTATCGGCGTTTAATTGTGAACTAAGATATACCAATTCTTTTACCTTTTCAACTGAAAAGCTCCCAGCCTTAAAATGCGATGGTTCGTGCACATCCAGTTGTTGGCCTGCATGCATGTATTTGGTTTTTGATTCATTAATCTCTAAACCCACTCTAGCTTCTGCTATCTGGAGAATGATAAAAGCGTTTTCTAAATCTGTAGGGGGTCTTCCAATAATATCCATGTCATCTGCGGAGGCCAAAATCATAGCAGATCTATTGAATATAGTTTCCTCAATTTGTATTCCAGGTTTCCATACAGCACTTTCGAGGGCCAAATAGAAAAGAATGCATGCAAGACAATCATCCTGTCTGAGCCCTTTGTGGGTTTCAAAGCTATTGCCTTTCAGTCAGGCTGGTATGGTCACTCTTAACACGCACTGTACATTGCACCTTCTTCATCGTAGCCCTATTCAGATGTATCATCTTTGGTGGTATTCCCATTTCTAGAAGCTCCTGGTACAGTTCGTTTCTCTTTACACTATCATAGGCCATTCAAAAGTCGATGAGCAAGTGGTGTGTGAGGATACTATACTCCCTGCACTTTTCCAGAATGATTCTGATGTTCTGCACGGCAAAAGTTTTTTTATAAAGTATCCGGGAGAACATCTTATAAGCACATGATAAGAGGTATATACCACGATAATTATGACAATCAAGCACATTCCCCTTCTTGTAAATTGGGGATATAACTGCTTTGTACCATTCACAAGGGACTTCTTCCATCTTCCAGACATCTATTATTATATTATAGAGGAACTTCATTTATTCTTCTCCTCCATACTTAAACAGTTCTGCAGGAAGCCCATCTGGTCCCAGTGCTTTATTATTTTTTAGCTCTTCTACCACTTCATAGACAACTTCCATATCAGGTTACTCCAATTCTCTTTTGGCCATCTCCGTTTCTCCTCTTCCTTCTTCTGCCATGCCATTAAGGAGGACATCCAAGTAATGCCGCCATTGTTCTAGAACTATTATCCTATTTGTGATCAGGTTACCCTCATTGTCTCTACAGGCATTTCTTCTAGGTTTGAATGTCTGTCGGCTGCTGTTTATTTCTAGAAAGAATTTTTTAACCTCATTATTGTTTTGGAAGTCTTCCATTCGTTGAAGTCTATCATTCCCGCTACCATTCCCTTTTTTTCCTCTGATGGGTGCATTTCACTTCTCTTCTTCTGGTTCCATATTCTTCCACTGATCTTCTTGTATGCCTTCACTGTAGCATTGTTCTGTAAGCAAGATTCTTCTGGCTGGTCACTCTTTGGCATTCTTTCTTAGTTGGCTTTTGATATCCAAGCATACCAACTGGCAGTTCTTCCATAGTTTCTTTGCATTTTTGCCACTGCTGATCTATGCTATCAGCCTGATATAGATCTTTAATTCTGCCATTCATACTTTGAGTAAAGAGTTGTCTAATCTCAAGATCCTTCAGTTTTTCAATGTTGATCTTAGGCGATCGTGTTCCAAGTTGATTTCTGATATTTGAAACCCTTGCGACTCTGAAAACTCTCGCCTCCATCAAACTAGTGATATGACCTCTGCTTATTAACAGATAGTCTATTTAATCACATGTGAATCCATCATTAGAGTACCATATTGCTAGATGGATTCCTTTGTGGGGGTACATAGTGCTTTCAACCACAAGTCCCTTCAAAGCAGCAAAATTTATCATCCTCATTCCATTATCATTTGTGTGGTCATGGATGCTATGTAGTCCAATTCTGGGCAAATATTCTTTCTCCTTTTCTACCGGTGCATTATATAATGTCCCAGGATTGTCTTAACAACAGTTCTTGGGCAGAAATCAAGCCGTTGCTCCAGACTACTATCTTTTTTGTCATCTCCTGATGGTTCAGTTGGGGCATGGACACTAATCATACTATAATTGTGCCCCCTCTTAAGTTTCCTTTTATTCAGAGATAACAGATCCTTGGGCTAATTGGTTCAAAGCCAATGACTTACTGACTCATCTTCTTGTTCAAAATGAATCCAGTTCCAAAGGTGTGTTTTTTTGTCATCGCAGCTATAGAAGATGGCTTTTCTTGTTGAAGGCTCCTTGATCCGTCCATCTTATTTCTTGGATTTCAGCTAAGTTAACATGATAACAGTCCAGTTGTGTTACAAGCTGATACAGAGCTCCCGGTCTATAAAGAAACCAAACATTCCATTTTCCTATTGTAAGTTCCATAAGGGAGCATTGAGTCGTTTCCGAATAATCCGTCCAGCTTTTCTTGTTGCAGATTTCGTAATAGTAGAGTTTTAAGGGGAGGGAGTTATCACCCAAACTCTGCCCCCGAGTCAGGTACGGGACTGCCCCCTTTGAACTTCCTGACCTGGTCCCCCATCCAGGTCGGCTACCTTGGGAAGGTAACCCTAGGATGTATAAAGTTTGTGACCTTCGTTTGTATAGTGTGGGAGTATGTGTAGTGTGTTTTATTATTGTACTGGGTGTGTTTTAGTGTAATTGTTCCCCCAACCTGGAGGACCAGTGGCTGACTGCGGTACAATGACCGGGCGATGGGGCATATTTCGACAGCGTTATAAATTTTTGGAATTGAAAAGTTTCATACTAAGGAAAAAGGAGAAAATATGGAACAGACCGTAGCAAGTGTAATTGTGTATGATCTACAATTTTGCCAATTCTACCTTTGCTTGCTCTGTTTTTAAGAAAATATGACCAATAAAATATCTTGGGAGTGGGAGGAGGGGGAGGGTAGAAGGTTCTTGCACTATCAACCTTGGGGAGGTTGGTACCCCTTGAAAGGAGGGTGACATAACATGCACAAAGGTAAGAAAAAGTGTGATTTATAATCAGAGCAAATCAATAGATTGTTGAGGGAAGTTAATTTGTAAAAAAATCTTTAATCCTTAGGGTATAGGCACATATATAGCAATCATTTGCCATACCAACTACCTGTATTGGCCAATTAGTGAGGTCACAAAATTTGGCAAATGTTAGTTACAGGATAAGTTAATGGTGTTAGTTACTCAATTAGTTAAAGTTAATTAGTCAGATAAATGGAAGGATAGAGAGGAAAAGATGTGTAACAAACCAATTCAACAGATTAATACTTAATATAATTAATTTGAATTTTATAATATTATATTTACCTGTTTTATTTGCACAGTTTAATCTTATTTCATATTAATAATCATAATAATCACTGTTATTTTATTTTACAGATGTAGTTTACATTGGCTCTGCTAAAACAGCACATTATGATCTATGTAAACTTGTGCTGTCCAACAAAAAGCATTTGCTGTGTGAAAAACCTCTTTCCTTAAAGTATGAAAATACTGAAGAATTGATATCAGTAAGGTTTTTTATGTTTTACTGAATTACCATAGTGTCATGTTATAGCTCCCTTTGAAATATAAATATAAAAACTCTTAAGTACCACCTCATTTCACTTCTGAAATGATTATTGCTTCTGCTGTTGAATTTCACCCCACCCATTAAGTAATAGTTAATTATTTCATTAATTCTTCCCATCCTAACTCCTCAAACAAGGACTCACATATATATATATATATATATATATATATATATATATATATATATATGTTTACAAAATTTCTCCAATCGACCTTTGAGTATTATATTTTAACATAGTTATTTAAATTAAGAATTAGGTCACTAAATTACAATCTAAAAAAATACAAATTATTCCTGGTGTTTATTCTATGTTTCGATCCTGGTTTAACCATGGGATTCTCTTCAGTGCTAGAACAACAAATAGCTCCAATCGGTACACAATCATGTTTCCATATGTTTCAAATAATAATTTCAAAATTGAACATACTTTTAAAATAGAGCCTTGATACCTCAGGCCAGGGACACGCCTGACAGCTTCAGCATTATCTACCAGCACAGTTATTATGCTACTGAGCTGCCAAGCGTCTATAATATTAAAAAAGCTTAAAAATGGTTCCCATAACCTAATTGTATTCTAACTTCCACTAAATAAACATAATATTAATAGATACCCATCCTAAGAATCTAAACCAAATACCTCATTTAAATTATACAATTTTAAAATGTTGCTATACGCACAATTTAGTTTTGCCTGATCATTCCTGGTACTAATTATATTTTTGGTCCTCCTATTTTTTTTTTTTTTTTTTTTTTTTTTTTTAATTGTTTTCAGGAAGGCAGTGGATCAGCTGATGAGAAGGTTGTCTCCTCAACTCCTCTCTCAGTTTTTACCAATTTTATAGCGGAATCTCTCTGATTATTCACGTGATACAGTTAAAGTGTATATCAGAGCAGTTGATATTTACTGTTGGCATCTTTTTTTTTGTTATTTTAAGAAAAAAAAAAAAAAAAAATTTTTTTTTTCTTTTCTTTTTTTTTATTTATTTATTTATTTTTCTCTTATGATATGCGGTATGATCAGCAAGTGATGGCCAGTAAGGTGCCCAAGAGGTCTCGGTCAGACGGAGTTAGCTCACCAGCCAAACAAAGGACTCGTCGCTGCCTACGAGAAATACCTCCAGTGACCAAAATGAACACTTCAGAACCAGAACCTCAGCCCCAACCAGGTACGTCTGCACAAGAAACGATTGAAGAATCACCTTTCTTTACTCCAAACCCCTACCAAGTGCTTCAAAATGACAAAGAAGTAATGGAGTCTGCAGCAATACCCAGAGAACCAAAGCCTCCTCCGATATTTGTGAAAAATATAAAAAATTTCCAGATGTTCTGCACCCAACTAAATAAAATCTGCTCTGGCAGTTATTCATGCCTTAACAGGACCAATGACACCAAGATAACACCTGATTCTGCAGAAGCCTACCGAAAAATAGTGAAGTACTTATCAGAAACAAATGCGAATTTTCACACTTACCAGCTGAGGCAGGAAAGAGCTTTACGAGTGGTGATAAGAAATTTACATTCCTCAACCCCCACTGAAGTTATTAAAGAAGAACTAACGACGCTTGGTTTCAATGTACGCCAGGTAACAAACGTTTTGAAGGAGGACAGGGAACAGCCAGGATTACGAAATAGGATCCCACTACCATTGTTTTTCGTGGACTTGGAGCCATCACCAGGTATCGAAAAAATATATGATATCACAAGAATATACTATACAATGGTGAAAGTTGAGAAGCCATATCCCAAGAGAGACATCGTGCAGTGCCATAATTGTCAGACCTATGGCCACACGAAGACATATTGCCACCATCTGCCGCGTTGCGTGAAGTGCGGTGAACAGCACAAATCTGTAGAGTGCACCAAACCTATACAAGATCCAGCAGTATGTGCCCTATGCTTGGAGGGACACCCGGCCAACTACAAAGGCTGCCAAATTTACAAGAATCTCAAAACCAGACACCAGAAAAACCGGATTCAAGATGAAGCACTAAGAACAAGAAGAGAGAGAGAGCCTTCCAGAATTGTAAACAATGATGTATCATTCTCCCAACTACTTAGAGGTAAGACTTTAACCGATAAATGTCAAGCCCTGCCACAACAACAACCTCAAACCCAACCTCAAAATCCTCTTCATCCTAATATACCTAACCACCAACAACAAATTCCTCATATTCCTCCTCCTTCAAATGCAACAGATCTCACAAGTTTGTTAGCATCTTTCCTCACCGATTTCAAATCCCTTGTTACTCCACTCATATCACTCCTCACGAATCTCGTATCTCACCTCATCCCTCCTTTGAAAAATCCTTAAATGACTCACATCCCTAAACCCATATCCATTCTCCTTTGGAATGCGAATGGTGTTAGAAATCATACAGACGAACTATCTACTTTACTACTTGACAAGAACATTGATGTGGCACTAATTACTGAAACTCGACTAACCACTAAACAGCACTTCAATATACCACAATACCTGACATATCGTACTGACCACCCTGACGGAAAAGCACATGCCGGTACTGCTGTAATTGTACACCAATCCCTCTCCCATCGCCTACTCCCATTACCAATACATGATTTCCTACAGTCCACCGCTATCGTGATAAAAACCTTCTCCTTTCCGGTCACTCTTGCATCAGCGTATTGCCCTCCTAACCGATCCATATCCAATGCCCAATTCAGTTCTCTCCTCGACTCCTTAGGACATCACTTCATCTTGGGTGCAGACCTAAATGCCAAGCACCAACAATGGGGTTCCAGAACCACGAATTCTCGTGGCCGAACCCTGCTGTCTGCACTCAATTCCCAACGTTTTCACCTCCTTTCCCCCAACTCTCCTACCTACTGGCCCACAGATCCCAACCGTAATCCTGATCTTCTAGATTTCTTTATCCACAGCGGCTTAAGTCCCCTCAATTGTTCCATTACACGTCTAAATGAACTTTCCTCTGACCATAGTCCTCTAATCCTTAATGTTTCACTTGAACCTGTTCCCAAACCTTCTCCACCGTCATTCATTAGGGGCCCAGTAAACTGGGACCTTTTCCGCCAAATAATCTCCGATAATATTGATCTCAACATATCCCTCAAAACTCCCGATGACCTTGATAGTGCCGTAAATTCCTTTACTACCACAATCCAACAAGCCGCCTGGACTGCCTCCTTTCCAAAAGACTCCTCCAGAATTCCTATAAAGACCATTCTACCCCAACACCTCCTTAACCTAATCCGCACCAAACGCGGTGCCAGATTATTATGGCAACGATCCCGACATCCTACCGACCGCCGCTCCTATAATTACTACTGCAAACAATTAAAACTGGAATTAGCCACCTTCAGATCACAATCCTTCAACTCCTACCTATCCTCCCTCTCTTCTCGCGACAATTCCCTTTGGAAAACCACAACAAAAATCCTAAATCCTCACCGCATTTCCCATCCTCTCCGACGAGGTGATGGCTCCTGGGCAGCATCTGACGAAGATAAAGCTGAGGAGTTCGCCATTCACCTATCCAATACATTTATTTCACATCCGGAATCCCATCCTGCCCACACCGTAACAGTAGAAGAACTCCTTACATCACCAATCCCACTTTCCTTGCCCCCAAAAGCTATTCATCCTTCCGAAGTAAAATTTCAATTAAAAAAACTAATCCTCCGTAAAGCTCCTGGACATGATCTCCTTACACCTCAAATCCTTCGACAACTTCCATCCAAAGCAGTCATATTCCTTACATATATCTACAATTGTATCCTACGCACCACCCACTTCCCTCTGTTATGGAAACACTCCACTATTATCCTTTTCCCAAAACCAGGAAAACCTCTCAATAGCTCAACATCCTATAGACCAATCAGCCTACTCCCAATCCTTTCAAAAATTTTTGAAAAGATCCTTTTGAAACGAATCCTACCCATTATAGAATCCCAAAATATCCCTTCCCATCAGTTTGGTTTTCGCTCTCAACATTCTACTGTTCAACAAGGACTCCGAGTCGTTGATCATATTTCCTCAGCCCTAGAAAACAAGGAATACTGTTCGGGTGCCTTTCTGGACATTGCACAGGCATTTGACCGGGTATGGCACTCCGGACTGCTCTCCAAGCTTAAAATCCATTTACCTCAGTCCTTGTACCTAGTCCTCCGATCCTACCTCTCTGACCGCTCCTTTCGAGTTCGCTGTGGAACAGAATTTTCCAATATCTACTCCGTTAAAGCCGGTGTTCCCCAAGGCAGCGTCTTGGGTCCCGTGCTTTACATCCTCTTTACTGCTGACATCCCTGTTCATCCCGATACTTTTCTTGCAACATTCGCTGACGACACCGCAATCTTATCATCCAACTCTGATCCCGAAATAGCATCCTTAAATCTCCAAAGTCATCTCACCTTGATTGAGCACTGGTGTAATAACTGGCGCATTAAAGTTAATGAATCTAAATGCCAACACATTACTTTTACACTCCGACGCAATTCCTGTCCACCAGTACTCTTTAATTCCATCCAGCTTCCTTATTCAGACACAGTCCGGTATCTTGGCTTTCATTTAGACCGAAGACTAACTTGGAACCCGCATACTAGACTCAAAAGACAAGAACTCAACCGACGATACGGCCAACTATACCGACTACTAAGCAGAAAATCTAAACTTTCCATTGAAAACAAGCTACTGATCTACAAGACAATACTGAAACCTATTTGGACTTACGGACTAGAACTGTGGGGATCAGCAAAATTTTCTAACATCAAGCGCATCCAATCCTTCCAGTCTAAAGTCCTTCGAACAATAGTCGATGCTCCTTTCTATGTATCCAACAAAACCCTACATCATGACCTTAACATCCCATTTGTCCTAGACCTTATCCCAGAAAAGTTCTCCAAATTTCACCAGAACCTTACTTACCACCCAAATCCTCTTGCACAATCCCTATCAAGCAT